CATTTTCTCAGCCATAGACGTGAATGAGCAACCCAACACAAAAGCATCACTAAGATAAATACAGGCTCTTCAATCATTGCAGCTCTTTCAATTTGATTTCCATTAGACTATCAAAAGTGGAAGTTATGTTACATAAGCTGAATTGCACGACTCTAACATAGCCTTATATAGCCGTTTCCCATGCTGAAAGCACTCTTAGGTCTACTCTTGTCATCCAGCTCAATATGTAGACATTTACATGCTAAGTCTAATATATGAAATCAATGGGCCCCTTTCAACATACCCAAGCATTCTTCTGTTAACAATAATGAAAAGGTGCCAATGCAAGTTACTGTGTCCACCCATATATAATTAATGCATACTGGACACCTCCTTTCTTTCTGACAATCACTACTGGAGATGACCAAGCACTCTTTGAAGCATGTATAATTCCATTTTATAACATCTGCTACAATTCAGTGCTGGCTGCACCACTAGTACTCAAGGGAAGCCTGTGTAGTGATTGTTTTATTACTCAATTTGCCATCTGATCCCAAAAATACATCAGTATATTCCACCAGCAAGTCATTAAGTGATTGCCAATGCATGGAGTCTAAATTGTTTGTACTATTCTCCTCTAGCAATCTCGGATGTAGCAGTAACTGTGTATTTGCTTTTAGATGTACCATAATAAATTGAACTGTAGTGATACTGCTAGAACTGGCTATTTCCACTTTGTTTTCATGCTGTTGACAATTTTAGCATGTACCTAATAAGTGATCATCCATAATTGTATGGGCTCTATAACCACTTTACATAGCAGTGACAATCTAGACTTTGTATATAGTAAAACGCAAAATACCATTTGTGTACATAGCATACTTGGATTTCCTCTCTTACATACATTCGTGCAGTCTACTGTTTCTAGAGTTAACCTGGATGACATCAAGTAATTCTACTGTGGAACATCAGCTCAGGTAAAATCAACTGGTAAGCTCTGAAGTACATCTATCCTAAAACTGTTGATGCTAGAACTAACATTGACAACAACTACCTTGGTTCTCTACGTGAAGCCTCTTAGAAATAGTCAGAGCATGATCTCTCCATTCACATCAACTTTATCTTCATTCATTAAAATGTCAACTGGCACAAGTGGTGGTTTCACGTTGAGCAAGTGATATACTGTGACATCTACCAGTTTTCTGTCCTCTCCTATATCAAACAGGAACACTATCTCTTACCCTTTTATTCTTACAGATACATACCAAGACCTGCCAAGCTCTTTGAAGGCTGGGATGATTACCACACTTTTTTGGTGCAAGTTGCTTGTTAAACTTTTCTCAGTCAGTAACAAGACATGATGTGGGCTCCTATCATTTCCTAGAAGTGTAAAATGAGTATTCAGTGACCTTCTGTTCTCTCTCTCTTGTACTTGTTCCACCATCAATCAAAACTTGTAGCCTTTATAGCAGCTCACTCTTAAAGGGACCCAACACTCCACATGCAAAGCATATGTTGCACTCCGACCTTCCAAAATAACATCCTGTTGGTGTAGATATTAGTGGCATATGTTGAAACACATAATCCATGATAGGAGTTATAGCCCTGCCCATTCAATAGATACAAGTATGGTTCCTTCCAATGATGGAGTATGTGGGTGGTTGGTTGATCCTCAACTGGGATCGAACTTGGCATGCTGTGGGTGCTTGAGTGGGGTGGCTGTCTGAGGCAAATCACTGTAACTGCCAGTTCAAGCTTCTTCCTCGCTGGTGACATAAAATGTTTCAGTAAGAGTGAGAATATTTCTTAGCCCCAAATGATGCTGCATTGTTTCACTGGGTAGTATTTTCATAATCTTAACAATAGTGATATCTTCATGATCCACTGAGGTTATTAAAGGGCAAGCTTTACCATGCTGTTGGCACAGGTAATCTGCACAATATTTCTATGAACTCTGAACTTGGCTAAAATAATTGTTCTAGTTTCCTACAGGTCAAACCTCTAGTATAACTCAGTAATTGGTGTTTCACAATTCTATAGTTGCTTCAAACTCAAGTGCTCAATGAAATATAGAAGTGGACCACCTAAACTTAGAACCAGATAATGCAAAACCCATTCCAGAGTGCAGTCAAACCAAGCAGTTATTTTCTGGAAACTCTTCAAAAAAGGGTCCAAAGTCTCTTTTATTATATCCTTGAATTTTGGTGTAGCAATCTGCTTCCACTTGCTCTCCTTTATAACTATCTGGCCATCATCTGACAGAGATGTCCTCGATATCATAGGCACTGCATCAAAAGGTGTACTAGTGACCCCACACTGTAGGACCCTGGAGAACAGGGAGCTGCAGTTTACAGCTTATCTGTAATCTATACATGTTTCCAGGTTCCAATGTGATCGATAGTTGTCTCAGTAATGTATTTGATGGCTCGTAAGAACCCATGGTCCATTCACTTGCCATTCAGTGCCCACCATCTTTACCTACTGGTTAGATAGATCCTGTTGTCAGACATCATCCTCAATGTCACCTCTATTCTCTCTTCAATGATCTTGGGTGGTTTCAACCAGAGACAGGATTGGGTTATTCTGGCTGTCCTAAATCAGGGAGTCCTATACAGACCACTGCACTCAGTCTCAGACTCACCAGATGTCACACCACCAAAACAGTCCTCAACTGTTTGTGTTTTTCTGTAACAGGAGAAGAGCATTAATAGCCATTCTGAGTTTACCAGATATTGGATACACTTTCTCCTGATTCATTGGCTGTGTAACAGGTTAGCGCTCAGGTGAACTTAATTGCTGGAGCTTCAATTAAAACCAACCTGTACACCAAATTTATTTGTTGGAGGATTTTGTCATGACGAGTGGAGCCACAAGTCGCTAACTCGAGGAGTTTACAGTTAGACTAAAGAGTATGAGTCTCAGACCAGCAGTAATACTCAAAGTAATCTTTATTAACTTTTAACAACAGTTTCTTGTTATAAAAATCAACATACAAATCTTTAAACAGTAATAGTAAACTTTAATACTTCTTGCAATGACTGAACAAGAGAGAGAGATACTTACTGGAGAGTTGGAACCTTTGAAGCAGTAGCTACATCAGATGATCTCAACTGCATGGTTTCGTCCTAAGAACTGCCAGAAACTAGTGGAGAGTTTCTTGATGGCTGGAGAGCTGATTTTGTAGCTCCTGATATGGGTTTTTAAAGCAAACTTTCTCTGTATCCTGGCGAACATCCAAGTAGGACACAGCATCACCCACAAGTAGCGCCGTGCTCCTATTGGATGCTTCAAGGCAATTCCCGGGCTAATCCAGGAACTAAACCAAAACCCTCAAGTTATTGGTCATCGTTAATTGGTGTTAGCCGGTCGCCTATTTACTTGTGCTGCTACACCCATGTACTGTAACTAA